CCCCCCCCACACACCCACCCACCCACCCACCCACCCACCCATACACACAGACCCACCCATACACACAGACACAGACACAGACACAGACACAGACACAGACACAGACACAGACACAGACACAGACACAGACACACACACACACACACATACACATACACATACACACACCCATACCCATACCCATACACATACACATACACACACACACTCTAAATTTGGCAGTTTCACATACCCAGTACAGCGTTTCGTGGCCACATAGTGAGCTCAACCGAAGCCCCCAATTGGACCACCCGCATGCGTCCCGAAAGCCCACCCAGTACAGCGCTTCGTGGCCCCATAGGGAGCTCCACCGAACCCCCAGTGGGACAGTCCCCATGCGTCCCGAAAGCCCAATTTGGAATTTTCGCTCACCCATTACAGCGTTTCGTTGTCCCATAAGGAGCTCCACCGGAGCCCCCAGTGGGACCACCCGCATGCGTCCCACACACACACACACACACACACACACACACACACACACACACACACACACACACACACACACACACACACGCACACACACACACACACACACACACACACACGCACACCCAATTTGGCATTTGTTCACCCACCCAGTACAGTGTTTCGTGGCCCCATACGGAGCTCCACCGAAGCCCCCAGTGGGACCGCCCGCATGCGTCCCACATACCCAATTTGGCGTTTTCACCCTACAGCGCTTCGTGGCCCCATGGGGAGCTCCACCGACGGCCCCAGTGCTACCGCCCGCATGCGTTGCCCCCCACCCAGTGCAGCGCTTCGTGGCCCCATAGGGAGCTTCACCGAAGAAGATATTCACAATTGCGGTACCCACAACTACATATTGTTAAGTCTGTCGCCAGAAAAATTAGGCCTCCTAAGTAAGGTCAAAGTAGATGGGGTCGGAGGATCGCGCCTCATCGCCGATGCGGCTCGATGTGGAGCCCGCGTTTCGCGATCCTCCAACCCCATTATTCGGACCCCATCTAGGAGGCCTCTAGTTTGGGGCGAAGATCCCACCGAGGCGGGGATTTATCCAAGACCACCGCCCGGCGGATTGATCTTCGGATGCCTTGGCAGGCGGCGGCTATGGGTAACGATTCGGGCTCTCTGGGACCTAAAGATGTTCATGTCAATGGTCTCCTGGGTCCCAGGGCATCGTTTCCCTAAGCGGTGGATATGGGCATGTGCCGACCTCGCAGCGAAAGGCCCCCGGATCTGGGTCCCGCTTCCCCCTCGGAACGAGACGGGGATCAATGCAAGCGGAGTTCCGCCAGAGCACCGGATCTTACAGGATCCTGCAGAGCCAGGGGTGCACTGACAAGGGCTTGGGTGCAGGATCCTGCAGGATCACGCGGGACCTTGCAGGATCCTGCAAAGCCCGATTGACCTGGGTTTGGATCGACCCAGATCCCCAACAGTACTCCGACGATCTAACTCTGAATGCCGACGAAGTGTTTGTTGCAAGCTAGGATGTTTTTCTTCGGTTTCGGCTCCACAACATTAGCCTTTGGGAGCCTCCCATACCATCTTGTCGGCTCTGGCGAATCGACGCTAATCGACACTAGATCGACGCTACATGGTCGCTCGATCGACGCTGAATCGGCGCCACCTCTCATCGACTCCCAGACGCTGCTCGACGCGAATCGACGCAAACGACATAATCATGAGAGCACACCAGGCTCCCCGCCCGGAAGCATCCGCTTAGTGCTCTCCTAGGCGCAGATGCATAACGCAGGACGAGGGGCAGCTTGGTGATGAGGAGGAACTAGAGGAGGAGGAGGAGGAGGAGGAGGAGGAGGAAGAGGAGGAGGAGGAGGGAGGAGGCGGAGGAACTAGGAGGAGGAGGAGGAGGAGGAGGAGGAGGAGGAAATGACGGAAGAGGGAGGACGACGCGCGAGGAAGGAACGAGGCGGGAGAGTGGAGGAGGAGGAGAGAGGGACGAAGGAGAAGTGAGGAGGGAGTTGGGAGGAGGGATAATGAAGATGACAACGATGATGATGATGATGATGATGATGATGATGATGATGATGATGATGAGGAGGAGGAGGGACAGTGAGGAGGAGGAGGAGGAGGAGGAGGAGGAGGAGGAGGATGGTGGAGGGCAATCACCTCAAGCAGACGCCTCTTGAGGAAGCTGGAGGGAGCTGTCCGCAGCACTGGCATTATGTTGGCTGGCCTGCTGGGCCGGCCGCCCCACCCCCCGCCCTGCGCTCCCCTTCGGCCGCGCGCAGAGGAGGGCGAGGAGGAGGGATGTGGAGAGGGATGTGGGAGGAGGAGAAAGGAGGAGGAGGAGGAGAGGAGAGGAGGAGGAGGAGGAGTAGGAAGGGGGGAAGGGAGTATAGGAGGAGAGGAGGAGAGGAGGAGGGCAGGAGTGAGGAGGATGAGGAGGAGTTAGGAGGAGGAGGGGGAGGAGGAGGGAGGAGGAGGAGGGAGGAGGAGGAGGAGGAGGAGGAGGAGGAGGAAGAAAGGAGGAGGAGGAGGAAGAAAGGGGGAGGAGGAGGAGAAGGAGCAGGAGGAGGAGAAGGAGGAGCAGGAGGAGGAGGAGGAGGAGGATCGCGTTCGCTTCTCTTTCAGTGGCTCTCTTCACGACACCTGCGAGCCGAAATCCTGCGAACGGCGTGCATGCTGGCCCGGGACAGACACATAGAATGAGCAGGAAAGGGATGGTGGACGGCGGCAAGAGCGAGAGACGAGAGAGGGAGAGCGAGCAGGAGGGGGAAAAAAAAAAGATGAGAGTGCAATGCACAGAACGGTGTGTATGAAATAGCGTGCAAGATGAGAATGAGCATTCCCGCCGGCATCGCGGCTTGCCCTACGACAGCTCAATTGGGAGCGCCAAGTGAATCGCTGCAGAATCGAATCACGTCGTCGCATATAGCTTCATGATTGCACGATAATTATCGCTTGGTGCCACTTCACATAGGCATGTCCGGCGGCCTGGCGGCAGCATTCTTTGACAGCCATCATG